CCCACTCAGCCTGCGAGGTGAGAGCGCCCCCTGCTGAGCCCCCACCCTGCTCCGTGCAGCACAGCGCCCCCTAGCGCCGCACTGGGGCAAACACTGCCTGCCAGGGGAGAGCGCCCCCTGCTGAGCCCCCACCCTGCTCCGTGCAGCACAGCGCCCCCTAGCGCCGCACTGGGGCAAACACTGCCTGCCAGGGGAGAGCACCCCCTGCTGATCCCCCTGCGACATTCCCTGCAGGGTGTCAGGGGCTGAGTATGAGAGGCTGGAGGTGGCAGAGGGGTGGGCTCTGGGTAGCTCACCCCCATGTGACCCTTACAAAATGCTAGCCATGCCCCTCAGCGCAGAGCACCTGTTTCCAACCCTTCCTCCGAAGCATCAGCCATTGGCCTAGGAGACAGGATCCCAGCCTGGGCACGATCCGCTGCCGCTGAACCCCGCCTCCAGCAGGCTGCTTGCCTTGCGGAACTCCCTGCTGCAGGGTGTGGGGCAGGATAGGAGGGGTGAGGCAAAATATTGGGGGGGGCAGGGCTGGCTTTAAAAACGGGGGTTGGGTGGGATGAGATTATGGGGTAAACCAAGGGGCTGGGGGGAATTGAGTCCTGCTGGTCTGCAAAGTGCATAGGGAGGCCACCCCCCCCCCCCACGCTTCCCACAGCCCTGGGGGCTGGTCCGTGTCCCAACACATGGAGCGGGGATCTGGCTGGGACGGCTGCCCGTCTCAAGCTGCCGTTCCCCGGTGCTTTCCCGTCTTGCCACGCAGATCGCCCTGGGCGAGAGCTACCGCATCCACTCCCTGCGCCTGGGCTCCCGCTCCTTCGTCCCCAACCCCTACGTGGCCGTCCTCTACAAGGAGATCGGCGCCTTCCTCTTCGGCTGCACCGTGGGCCAGTCCCTCACCAACATGGCCAAGATCACCGTCGGCCGCCTCCGCCCCCACTTCCTGGCCGTCTGCCGGCCGGACCTCGCTCTCCTCAACTGCTCCCGGGGCTACGTGGAGGAGTACGCCTGCACTGCGGGGCTGTCGCAGGAGAAGGAAGCCAGGTGAGCTCCCGGGGGCACTGTCCCTTTAAGGCGGGGTGGGGGGTTGAGGTAAAGGAAGGGGTCCCCTCTAGGGGAGCCAGCTGCAAAGTGTGGGCCCAGATTTGGGGTCCCCCTGGTGGTGACACCTGGCCTTACAGGCTCGGGCTGTCTGTGTCCAGCAGCCTGGCCTAAAAAAAAATCCCCTATAGATTTCCCACAGAGCCATCTCGGCTCTTCCCGCTGAGACCAGTGTGAAGGGATGGGGGGGCCAGGGACAGTTCTGACATTAGACTGCTCCTTGCCCCAGTGTCATGCCCCCCCACACCGTGCCCTGTCCCCCTGTATCTGGGGCGAGGTCCCCATGGAGAGTGTCGGGGGGGGGATCCCCATGCAACTTGCCCCTCCCCAGTGTCCAGGAGTGGGTCCCTTACACAGCTTCGGGGTTACCGCACCTCTGAGTCAGGCCAGGTTTGAACCGGTGTCTGCTCGGGGGATGCCCTCTTAGCCCTCGGCCCTCCAGCCCTGTCCCTGCCCCCCCCGGAGATCTAGGCTTGCAGCCCCTCTGTAATTCCCTGCCATTCGCCCGGCCGCCCGCCTGCAGTTCTGCTCTCTCCCGCGGGCTAAGCCGGTTCTTCTTGGGCCAGAAGCGCTGCAGAGAAAACTCGGCGTAAACCAGCCAAGCGCCACCCGCTGAGACCAAAACCTCTGGGGCCCTCCTGCTTCACGCCCCGAGCTCTGCTGGGACAGACCCCGGGGGGTGCCGTAGGTGCCCACGTCCTTCAGACTTTTTGGCAGGGTGCGACCTCTTGGTTAAAGGTCACAGGGAAGGGTTCCCAGGCCCTTTATACCACCAGCCCCCGGGCCTCTGGACCCCGGTCCGACCCAGTCTGCAGTAATTGCCCCGCTGAGTAAGTTCCTGGAGGGAGCTGGGCACCGTGCCGCCAGGGGGGCAGGACGCGGCCCATGGCTCGCCCCGATGCTCCAAGATGTGTGTGTCTGTAATACCCGGAGGGGTCCCATGGAGGCTGCCCTGCCCCAGTGTCTGGGGTTGTGGGGGTGGCTCTCCGTGGAGACTGCCCCCGCCTTGCTGGACAACCCCACGCCCTGGGCAGCAGCTTCGGACCCCCCGGTCTTGCCCGCCTGGCCCTGGATGGGATCTAAGGCAGGCGAAGGGGTTGCTGGCGGGATCCCTTGGCACCCCTGGCGACGGGTGGTGCCACCAGCTATAACCCTGGCCTTTATTTGCCCCCTTCTAGGAAGTCCTTCTACTCCGGCCACGCCTCCTTCGCCATGTACAGCATGACGTACCTGGTGGTAAGCGCCCCCGCCCTGCCCCACAGAGCTTAACAGTGCACGGGCCTGATCTGATCATCCTAGAACCTCCCCCGGCAACCCTGGCCCCGTCCCTCGTGGGTCACGCCTGAACGCCCTGGGGCGGGGGTTCCCCTGGCCAGTGGAGCCCTGTGCAGAGGTCACTGGGGGGGTGGGGGGGCAGGGGGGAGATCTCCCCGCAGAGCCAGGCGTGGGGGAGGTCATTGGGAAGCAGGGGGAGATCTCCCCACAGAGCCAGGCCGGGGGAGGTCACTGGGGGGGCAGGGGGAGATCTCCCCACGGAGCCGGGTCAGGGGAAGTCACTGGGGGGAGATCTCCCCCCAGAGCCAGCCCGGGGGAGGTCGCTGGGGGGGCAGGAGGAGATCTCCCCGCAGAGCCAGACCGGGGGAGGTCGCTGGGGGAGATCTCCCCGCAGAGCCAGGCCGGGGAAGGTCATTGGGAAGCAGGGGGAGATCTCCCCGCAGAGCCAGGCCGGGGAA